GATAGTAAAATAATGTAGTATGAATAGTATTTGTAATTTCAGTAGAGATATTTAATTGTTGAGTAATATTTGTAGTTAAGCTATAAAGAATTTATTAAAAGTTGAATTTTTGTTTAGAGCAAGTTAATAGATAAGGTATATCTTCGATTAATTAACAATGAATACAATTTGAAGTAGTATATAATAAGGAATAGTGTATATTAGGATTTTGTATAATTAGTAAGTTGTTATTGATAATTTTTAGTCGAAATGAATAGAATTTTTGATCATTATTAAGTGAATTAATAATATTAAGATTAGTAAACTATTTAATAGAAAGTAGGTTTTGAAAGTATTTAAGTTATGACCAAATAAGAAGTGACTGAATAGTTATCATATTTTGGAAAAAGGAGTAAATTTTAGTAGAAATTATATAATCATGATATGTAAAATAGAGAGAAAGTATTATTTTAAAGTTGGATATAATTTGGTATTTATTAGTATCTTGTTTGACTAGAAGATTAGCTTGATTGTAGAAAGAGTTATTAGAATGAGATTTGATTTTATAAAAAGATATATTAAGAGACTTTGTTTTAATAAGATGATGAATAATAAATAAAATATCTCAGTTTTTTATATGAGAGAATTTATGTAATGATGAAAATAGTTGAATATTTTTAGGTGCAAAGAGATTGTCTAAATGTATATTATTTTATGAATTTATTGACAAGATAAGAAAAAGATATATTATTGCTTTAATTTCTGCTTGGGTAGAGTCAGAATATAAAGAAATAGAGCAGTTAAATTTAATTTGGATATTATGTTCAGAAATCTATCCAATTCCAATTTTAGGATATGATGTTTAAGCATTAATAATTGAGGCATCTGTATAGAAATGAGTATTGTTTGGGAGATTTTTTGATAATAAAAATAATTCAATAAGTTGATTTTGGTAGTTGGAGAATGATATATATTTTTGTATTATTTGTATTTCCATTTCAAGAATGTATATAATTGGAGTTTGAGTTGGTATAAATGGTGAAGAAGTTTGTTATAATATATTAATAAGTATATAAATTTCATAATTATCAATATTAAGAGAGTAGATATTATTTTTTTTTAATGACTTAATATTTGAAATATTAATGAAAGTTTGAGATATCAACATAGATGGGTTAGCAGAAGTCAATGATATTGAGCCCTGAGCAGTGTTGTTGATTAAAAAAAAATTAAATAAATTATTTATAAAAAGAATTTGGAAATTATTAAGAAGAATTAACTATTTATTTAATGATAATAGATGATAGGGTATAATTGTATCAAGAGAATTAATAAAACTATTAATATTAGGTAGGTTAAGATGTGATCATGTTTGGTGTATAGTATTATTTTGAATTAGATTACAAAGTTTAGTAAACTAGAAAGAAGTTGGTTCATGAATAGATTTTTTTATTCATATATATATATATTATTCCAAGATAAAAGATATAAGTTATTAACAGTTGTAATTTGTTCAATAAAGAGTATTTTATTATTATAGAGACTATTTGTTAAAGAGAAAGAGATATTAGATAAAAGGATATTATATATTATTTTTGTTGTTATAAGAATATTAGTTGGTGATAAATTTAATGAATTATTAAGTGAAAAATAAATATTAGAGTTATGTAAAAGTGAAAATTGAAAAATAAAGGAAAAAATTTTGGTTTTAAATGAAAATTTAGAGGGTATAATTGGAAGAAAAAGTGGTTGTTATATTTTAGTAAACCAGTTTTTAATTCTAATTTCATTAATATGTTTAAGAAATGAAATAGAATAGAATATATATTCTATTATTAATATTGTGATTTTTTGAGTTAAGTATTGAAATGTTGGAAGTTTAAAAGATAATAAATTTGTAAGAAGAATATTAGATATATTTTTTGCTAAATGAAACATTTTTTTTGTTATAATTGAAAGTAGTTATAAGAGTTTTTATTGTTGTGTTTTGGATATAGATAAGATTTGTAGAAGATATTCTAAAGATGATTATAGTATTATATTAAAAAGTATAGAAATTTATTTAAGTATAAGTTTTTTATATTTAATTAATGAAAAAAAGTTTTCAATTTTGTTTTGAAGCATTTTAAAAATTGGTTTAATAGAACCATTTTCATCAAAGTAGATATCAAGGTACTATATTATTTCATGTAGTTTATGTAAAAGTATTATTTGATTATTGTAATAAAGTGTTGGTATAGTGATATTTAGTTTATTTTTGTTTTGAGAGATATATAAAAGATCAGATTTAGTTGATATTATATATTCAATATTAAATATAGTTTATTTATATATATATATATTAAAACAAGTATTTATACCAAAGATTTAAAAAAATAAAACTATTGATATCTATTTAGATCTAATCTATAGGTCTTTAAATCAGATGATAAATTAGAAAATGATGATAATAATGATTTAAGTTCTACAAACAATAATGATGATATTCCAATAGCAAAAACTTAATGACATTTACAGTATGCATATTAACAATTTAGACAAAGAATAAAAAAAACCTATAATTATAATTATAATCAAGATCAGAATTAAGATTATAATTGTAATCAAGATGAAAAAGAAATTAATTAAATTAAATACTTACAACTAGTTAGTATAAAAAATCTTATTCAAAAAGTTCAAACTGCTATATATCTTTCTTTAGACAAATTATAAGGAATGTCTAATAAAAATTCTTTAATTACAATAATATTGAATTCTAAAATAAAAATTTTTCTATTTATAAATAGACCTGATTATGCATAACAAAAAACACAAACTAAATTCTTTTTAAGAGATTTATATACTCAACTTAAGCAAAAGTTAATCAATAAAAATCTTGAGATGTTGTATTTAACAGTGAACTTAATCAATAATGCTAAAGACATATTCTCAAAAATATGAGTTAATAATCATGTATAAATAGAAGATGAAGTTACTTGTTATTTATATTATCCTGAAGAACTAAAAAATGTTAATCCTTTAGTTTAATGGTAAGGACATTAAAGAAGTTATCCCATTTTGACACAACTAACATATAAATACCTTTTAATCTCTGTTACATTGTTTCCTAGTAAATGATTGTTTTCTAATATTAGAAATAATATTTCAACAAAAAGAACTCAATTAGTTTCTGATTTAGTTAATCACATTTTATTTTTAAAGCAGAATACTATATACTTTCCTATGTTTCCATTTTTGGAAAATGATGAATAATTCTTTTTCTTTGTTAAGTATTATTTATTTATTTTTTTCTAATCATTTTTTTTATGAAAGTCTAGTGATGGTCAACGAAGAAAGAAAAACTTTAAACTGACTATAAAAAGAATATATTATCAGTTTTTTCTCAAAAAAAAAAAGCACCAATTTATATGGTTTGAAATAAAGGTTGGCAACAAAAACTTGTAAAAAAAAAAAAAAAAAACGCTTATCATTATCTTAATTACTATAAATAAAAGTTAACTATAATTGGTTAATTATCATGTATTATATCACGAGAAGATGCTAATGCATGAAACATCCGGATTTATATAATAAATTCGAATTAAAATCCGATGCAGGTTTTTACTAATTAAAATAAATCCGGATTAAAAAAGTGAATCCGGTTCCAAACTCTAATTACTATTAAAAATAATCTACATCATCCCTACCTTTAATTCCAGAATTGCTGATTCCCATATGATCTTCAGTGACATCTTTTTTGCAAAACGCAATAAATCATGAAATGCATGAGACAAATTCATGCAAATTTTGAGCCGGGAGAAGACGTATTCCCGGAAACACGTGGAAGAGTGACCGATGTGGCGCAGTACCGAACTAGCGGTTATGTTAATCATTTGCCTAAAATGGGTTTATAAGGATTAAGTTAAAAGGAGCGCATACTAAAAAGCATACAAGAAAGGCTTCAAACACTACAGAAAAGAAGAATCGCCGTGATTCCAATAAATCCGTTTCCATGAAGACACGTAGAAAGAAGAAGTCATACTTACGACCTTAACCCCACTCGCAAATAGAACAGCCTCTTATCGACTAAGCCCTTTCGTAGGTTACACGACGTCCCAGATTGTGATGCGACTGAACTGACTCGCCATTTAGAGTTGCAGATCACCAAATACAAATCAATCATTTACATAATTATAATAGTGCTCATTATTGATCTGTGACAATAATTATAAACGTTCTACTTTTTTCTCATTAAATAAATCAATTTCGATAGCTTTAATGTAATATAACTATGTTACCAAATTTTAAATTCATTTAAATCTGAAGATTAATTAACATAATTGCATATTAAAAAGTTACTAAACCGAGTTGTTCTTTATACAATATAGTAATCTAATATGGACCCCAATATGGAGATCCTACGCTTGTACGTACGTATGTTTTTTGCCTGTAGATATGTATGGGATCCTTAATTTCTCCCCACGGTTCTAATTGGACAGTTGTAAATGTCATCTCTAATTGGACAATGTCGACTACGCCACCTTTCGTCTACCAATCAAATCATAAGATCAGGTGTAACAAAATTTTCCGAAAATCGTCAGTTAGTTACAAAACCACCTTTCGTGTTCTAACAATAAAAATTCCTTAATATTTGTTCTATTAAACCTTTATACTGTTTCAACGACTTTTCGAAAAGCAGTATTTTTTTTTGCCCAATAGGAACTATGGGAAAATTAGTAAACCCGATATGTATACATACGCACACCAATTGGCATTGACTTCATTTGAAAGTTGTGATTACTAAAAAAGATGGCTTTGGAATATATTTATACAATTATCATAATGGTTCTAAAACAGATTTTTTTTTGGATGAGATCTTCTGGAAAATGTTATATAAATGCTTATACTCCCTTTTTATCAATCAAAATAAAATAATTTCTTCAACATTTACACTTGACACTTATTGTAGAAGTTAGAGTCTTTCTTTGAAAATTACAATAAATATGAAACTTAACTTGATTGTTATACTTTGTTTTCTTCTCATGACCATTGCTGTTTATGCAAAAAAAAACAATATAAACAAAGCAGTAGCATTTCATGAAGTTTTACCGCAGAAAGTTGTTGTTACTCAAGTCAAACCAGGTATATTTCTTGCTGAAAGTAGATGGCACGGTACTGGAATGCACCCTAATGGTATGTAGGAAAAAAAGGAAAATTATCTTGTATTATTTATCTTGATGATAATGATTCCTATTAAAAATCATCTTTTAGAATTGGTGTTTAAAAAAATGAGTTGCAAAAATGGTGTAACAGTTAATGAAACCAATGTGGTAATGATTAATTCATAATTCTTTATATCTTTTTTTATATAATCAATATTTAAATTAAATTTATTCCAACAATTTTTTTAGAAAGGAGTTTTCGCTGACAGGAAACATGTTTTTGAATTATCAGTTCCAAAACACGTGAAGAAAGTGGTGTGTACAAGAGGAATTGTTGATATTTCTAGCTTTAAAAACGCTTTCGAGTTCAAAGTTCCTAATAGCAATATTTAATGTGTAAAGCATAATTAATGTATTAATTATAATTATATGATTGTTATTATTATTATAATTTATAGTTGCCTTAAGAAGTAAAAGGATGATTCTAATATTGTTATTAAAGAGTTTAGTTGCTAGTTCTTAATTTTGGTTACCTCGACTTTATTAGTGCCAACATAGTACCTTTAAAAAAATTTAATTTTTCAAATTGTTCGAAATATACTGAAAATTTAATGTTATTATAATTAATCAAGAATAATAATTTATTCTTAAATTCTCACTTCGATTATTTATAAATTTACTTTGATCTGATCATTACTTTTACTGCGGTTTGCAAAAGGTGCGAACTCTACAGATCATGGGTCGGTTAAAATCCTGACTATTTTAGTGATGTTAATCATATGTAGAGATGAGCGCAATGCCATAATTGGTTGTAATTATTATGGCATTATTTGTTGTAATTTATTTTAATAACAACTAATTACGGCATTTGCTTACATGCTCTAATATTTATAAATAAAATAATTTATTTTAACTAAGATAATTCGTATTAATTAATAAATTTAGTGATGACACTCATACTGATGACCGTGATTTTCGTGATTTAAAAGTGCAACGAAAGAGGCTTAAGGCTAAATCAGTAATCTTGAAGATCACATATAAATAGCTTATTTTGCATCATGGTATCTTAGTTTCACTTTATAATTTATTAATACTTTATAATCAGTGTTGGGCTGACCAGACCAGTTTGACCATTTGACCATTTGACCGGTCTGGTCAAAGAATTTTTACTGGTCAAATCAGTCAAATAGCATTTTTGAATATAATTTATTATATAATAAATATAGGGAATTGCTATTCACACCATGGATTTTTGCTATTCGCACCATGGTAACTAACGTTATGAAAAACTACTTACCCTAACTCTAACTAATTCTGGTCGTAATATACATACCATGGTGCGAATAGCAAAAATCTATGGTGTGAATAGCAGTTCCTTAAATATATTATATTTATATAAATAACTTGACCAATTTGACCAGTTTGACCAATTGACCAATTTGACCAGACCAATTTGACTAGCAAATTTTTGCTTGACCACTGATTTGCCCAACATTGTTTATAATTTATCAATAACACAGTCACGGTAATGACCATCATACTGGACTTCCATAGTGTAACTATCAAAAAACCCAGACACGTCATATTTGTGGCTTATACTGCTGATTGATATATTCAAAATTACTGTCAGCTACATAATATATATGGACTGCTATCAATAGAAATTAGGCAAATTGATATTTTAAAAAACATCAATACCTTATCTTTCACAGCTCATATCTTGATGAATTTGAATCTAGTTTAATTATTTAATATTCAAAAGAAAGCTTGAGATATAAGTCTTCTTTTGAATATTAAATAGTTAAATTAGTTTCAAAATTCATCAAGATATGAGCTGTAAAAGGTAAGGTATTGATTTTTTAAAATATCAATCTGCTTGATTTCTATTGATAGCAGCTCATATCAGATATATAATAATTGTTCTAATTGTTATTATTATTATTATTATTTATACTTGATGCAATTGATAATATCATATAAATCACATATTCAGAGTTGTTTTTGTAGTTACACTATAGTAGTTTATTTTACTGCATATTAATACTGATACTAATCTTGATTAAATATGCATATAGATATAATTAAAACTTAAATAGATAAAAAAGTCTTATTAAAAACCTGGCTAATAACTTATTAAGCTGATTATTTGATTGATTCAATAATTGTAACCAGTCAGATATGAGCTAATAACTAGCAATAACTGATTATAACTAATCAAACTCATTCCTAATTATAATACTATAGTAAAGTAGCAGATTTTTTGAATTACATCATTTAGAATAGCAGTTATGATTAAAAAAAATTCAAATATATATTAAAGATGCTTGATTAAATAATTTTTGATTAGTAAAAAATTTTGTCAAATTATATATCTTGTAATATATATTTTTTTTTTTATAGTTAAAGTCTCTATCTTGAGAATGTAATATTTTATTCAAGTTTTGTTAGGAAACAGGTGCCTTTAAGGGTTCCCTTACATTAAAGGTTACAACTAGTTACACATGTACTTTTGATACCTAATTTAAGTAGTTCATTTATATATTGCTATATAAGTTTTATACTAGTTGCTATATATGCAAGCTGATTAGGAGTCTTGCCTATTTAAACTCTCTGCATATACAACCCTTCTTGTATCATGAGAACATCTCAAGACTACACCTATCTAAGTTCTTGATACTTATCATTACCCTTAGGATTACTTTATCCTTGATAAAAAACTTACTAGAGCCTTTATATCCCACACATATAGACCTAGTTTTATGCAACATGCTATAGTTAACTAACACTTGCAGTTACATAGGTTACCTGTTTAACTGCTATATTACACTATTTTTATTCTTGTAAAGTTCACTAAAATCTTAGCACCTATCTTTCTGGCATCTTCTTCATCATCCTCTATTAGGTACAACTCAGAACTGTTGGTCTTATTCCAGACTACCAATTCAGATGGCATGGTATAATATACTTATATATCCTTTTTCTCTAATGAATCTGGCAGCCTAGTTGGTTATATGCTTTTCTACACATATTTGATGTCTGGTTTTAATCTTCGGTTCCTATGAAGGTATTTCATAAGCTTTAATCAGTTCAATAGTATCATTAAAAGTCATACTATCTCCTTACTCAGGAATTTCCAAGTAGGTTTCTATTATCTCAGTTTCTTAGTTTTCTACATCTGATGGTCTCATTGTGGGTTTGCACCAAAGTCTTATGCAACACTGATTAACATTCCTTTATATATATATAATATTACACTTCATATAGATGCTTGAGCTCCTAATGGCAGAGGGACCCAACTTGGTATATCTGAGTAACAGCCATATGAGGCCAACTGATCGACAGGAGACAGTTACTGTAATGCAAATATGATTTCCAAATTTAGTCATAGGTGAAATTTGAACCTTAGACTTGCCACTTAGAGGATGACAACCCAACCACTACACTAGGATCATTATTCTTATATCTTGCAATATTGAAGATTGACAAAACTATTAATAATTAATAAAATAATTAATAAATCAATTTGACTAGTAGAAAATTAATATATATCTAACCATCTTTTATTAAGCTTCTTATAATAATCTCTGAATATATTTGATTTTTTGTTAAGTTATTGTTATTTATATTCTATTTTTGTAATATAATTAGTCAATTTTATGATCTACTTCTGAAAATATAATATCTAATATAAACTATTATAATTAGTTATATATAAAGTTAAAACTTTTATTTAAATATGTAAATTAAATATAATACAAAAATAATATAATTTATTAATTATGTGAAAGGCCAAGATAATAATAGTCAGACCCAACACACAGGGCAAACTTTGATATCTTGCATAGCAGTAAGAGCCAAGCATATAGTGATCGACCCTGTAGAAGACAATTTCAGAAGATTATTCTCAACATCTTTAAGCCCTTATGATCTTTATACATGTTTTAACAAATTCCTTCTTTATTACAACTTACCACTTCTTTCTTATGATCAAACTATTTAATCTCTTTTACAATATATTGACAAACATAACCATAATAACACTGTCTTTAGTATTACTTTCTCTCTTAGCAATATATATGATAAAACTCATATATATTTTCTAAATAATTTTTTTTTACCTAATCATACTGTTATCTATTTTTATTTTCTTTCTATCTTTTACAACCTTCCTTTTAGATCAAATTTCTTTAATTTTACTTTCATTCCATCTGATTTATTTTTTAATAGTCATACTACATTACAAGTATTCACATCTATACAAACTTTATATAACCTTCATTTAAATATTTGTACACACAATGTTAGAGATTATAATACAGTAACTAAAAAAGAAGCTTGGCAAAATTATTGTTTTCACAATAATATTCATATCTTTTGTATTACTGAAACCAAAATTATTAATAGTACTAATCTTCAATTTCACAATAATAACTTATTCATCTACTTCTGGGTCAATTCAGAAAGTTCAGAAGAAGGTGCTGCTATTACACTTACAACCACACATACACAACTGCCAAATACACCCTGATGGAGCAATTGCTTTAAATTTATTTTTCAAAAGTGAAATTAAACTCAAAATTATAGCTGTTTACCTTTCTTCTACTAATATGCAAAGATGCAACAATATACAAAATACTGTTATTGCATAGATCTAATAAGCACTTTAATACAACTTTTATCCAATAATACTTGGAGATTTTAATACACATGATGATATCTGTAACTTTTCATCTAAATTTAAATTTATTAATTATTTACACTACTTCAACATGTTTGATTTTGGTGCACATATTGATAACAAGCACTTTATATAGTCAAATAATACTAGCCACAGCTGCATTAATTATATCTGAACTGATTCATTTAATATTTAATTCTTTCTTTCATATAAACTTAATAATAACAATACCTTAACACTTAGTAATCACTCTATTCTTATATCTATCTGGACTTTTACTAATACATATAGCAAACCCCCATGTCATCATACTGGCATCAGTCACAAAATCTTCAATTACAAAACTATGTCAACTGAAAAATGAACAGAATTTTTTGACCTTCTCTCTCATAATCTTAGTTTTCACAATACATCACTCAATAGCAATACTAATAAAAGCATTAAAACTACTTGACACAAGATTGAACATTCAATAATTAACACTGCAATACATTTTATATTCAACAAAAAAACTTATAAATGCAGCTACAATCATCAATATTCTTCTAACTTTACCTTAATATACACATCACTTAAAGAGCTTGGGGATCTAATAAAAATTATTAAAAATACTCACAACAACCTCAACATAAATATGATAAATTCTAGGATTAAGATTATTAATAATAGATTCTACTGTGACCTTCAAACTTTTGATTCAGATGACAATTCTCAA